GTGAATTCGGTAGTTCCCAGTCTTTGTGAGACACAGCCATATAATAACAATCAGTAATGTTAGACCAGGCTGTTCAAAACATGCAAAATAATTTACCTGTAATTCAAACAGAACCACAGATATACTATATTGAATATGCTATTGGTTAACAAAAAATTGCAAATGGCCAACCTGGTTGCACCGAGTACATTCCCTTGCGTTTTGAACCATAGCTTGTAATGGTGTCCATCGCGTGTCCTGAAAAAACATGAATGATAGATTCCATTCTTGTCTTGGGAGGCGCAGTGGCCTCATGGTTAGTGCGCTCGTCTCCGGATCGAGCGGTCCGGGTTAGAGCCCTGGCGGGGGACATTGCGTTGTGTTCTTGGGCAAGACACTCTACTCTCACAGTGCCTCTCTCCACCCAGGTGTATAAATGGGTACCGGCGACCTTAATGCTGGGGGTAACCCTGTGATGGACTAGCATCCCATCCAGGGGGGAGTAGAAATACTCCTAGTCGCTACATGCTACAGAAACTGGGATAAGCTCCGGCCTGATGGCCACTTGGCTCGTATGCAGACTTTACCTTTTTTCCTTGCAAAGTGATGTATTATAAAGTTGAAGTGATCTACACCCACCTCAGTAACAATACCATTTAGCAGCTGCACAAGGCCTTCGTGGGCGTCATGTTGGAGGCCTGGCAACATGCCTGGATTGCGATTATGAAATGTTCTCTGTTGAGATTAAATTTTACTTGCAATGATCATATACATCTTTATTGCATTTAATTCATTATGTAGTTGGAAGTCTCCACAACAGGCTTCTAGTGCTATGAATTGTACCGTTGCCACTCAAGAAAGCTTGTGGTTAAATTTTGACATCTTTTTGACAATTTTTTAACAACTTTTTTGCTGGCCTCTGTTTGGTTTCTATTTGACCCCACCAAAAAATATGGGAGTTCACTGAATTCAGCATTCACTCTAATAAACTGAATTTAAAAAGTCTCAGCCTGCAAACATTTCAAACAAGCAGGAAGTTGCCACAGTTTGATTGGCCATTTCAAATGGAACCCATCAGAAGATGTCAAAAACAATCATGTCAAAAGGGTGTCAAAAACTAATCAAAAACTTTCCTAAACTGGCAACAGTAAAGCACAGAGCATTGAAATATCAAACATATTAATGAGAGTGATCCGTGAGTGCTCTAAATATTTTAAAAAGTGTTTCACTTAGTGACTATTAGATTTCTTGTTGTTTATCGGCATCAGCCATGATAGGAAGAAATTGAAGGCCTGCATGCCTATCCGCCTTATGTTGAATTTTAGGTCTTTTATTCTTTTTTCTACTGAGGTTCTGATTTGCCTCATCCTTGGTAAATTGACTTCAAATAATATTATATTTTAAACACTGACCGGGACCATTTTCACTTGTTTGCACATTTTTGGAAGAAACTCTGTCTGGGTTAAGACAGCTTTCTCTGAAGCAACTAGAGGGTGGTGTCTTATGCCAATATGATACATAAATGTACCTTCTGTTTAGTGTTCAAAGTCAAAATCATAAGTCAAAGGAAAATGGGAAATGGAGTGGGAATCTTATAGTGCTACGCATGGTACCGTTGCCACCCCTGAAAGCTTTCGGTTAAATTTTGACATCTTTTTGACAATTTTTTAACAATTTTTTTGCTGGCCTCTGTTCGGTTTCTATTTGACCCCACCAAACAAAATATGGGAGTTCACTGAATTCAGCATTCACTCTAATTAACTGAATTTAAAAAGTCTCAGCCTGCAAACATTTCAAACAAGCAGGAAGTTGTCACAGTTCTGATTTGCCTCATCCTTGGTAAATTGACTACAAATTATATTTTAAACCCTGACCTGGACCATTTTCACTTGTTCGCACATTTTTGGAAGAAAGTCTGTCTGGGTTAAGACAGCTTTCTCTGAAGCAACTAGAGGGCAGCATCTTATGCCAATATGATACATAAATGTACCTTCTGTTTAGTGTTCTAAGTCAAAATCATAAGTCAAAGGAAAATGGGAAATGGAGTGGGAATCTGGGAAATGGAGTAGGAATCTGGGAAACAGATTGTTCCTATCGCTTATTGCGGCATGAAACACAACATAATTATGAGATCGTTCGAGTGCCAAAGAAAATACCAAACAGAAAAGAGAAGTGTTTTTTTTTCTTTTAAGACCACTTAAAAATGCTTTTTTATGGTACCTTGCATGTCTACCTCGTGGTTGAGAGGCATCATAAAGCCTTGATAAACCCATACGTCATCAAAATGTTTTAAAGAAACAAAGCAGGTTATGATTTCCAAACGTAGATACAATCAAGTCATCAGTGTCTGAAGTCAGATTGATCCAGGAGGCAAAGCTCAAGAAAAAACCCCTCTTGTGAGTTGTGGCTCATTTGCCAAGTATTGCCGGTGTTATACTTTGGAAAGCGAGAACTGATTTTAGAGTGCTAAAATATGTCTTGCATCAACCATCATCATCTTTTCCCACCAATGAGTTGAAGAAACCCTTCCCAGCATGCATTTTGATCACCTTCTGTGGACCTTTTGTGGCCTAATAAACAGCAATAATAATAATTAGCAGTAGAAGATATGGATTTGTTGAATTTATTGATAAAGGGAGTCCTGCGGATAATGGCCAACAAGTAGCAATCGATCGTAACAGACTATTATGATTTGCTGTGTTTCGAACTTCTGAGCTGGGATCAGAGGGCAGAACTTTAATCTCAAGAGCTTTGAACGTGAAATCAACATTTACTGTCTCCTAAGTAAAAGAAAAAAATAGGCAGTTGAGGACTGCATATGGCTACCTTGGATATAAATAATTGGCTGCACTCCCCATTATGATAAGAAATCAAAATGGATTTCAAGCCAACTCGTGATATTTGAATTGGATCAAAAAGATTTTGAGAATTAAGTTTGTATGTTCATGACACAACATAAATATTGCAACTATCATTCAGGGCCATTCCATTTTTTATCCATACCCCCACCCCCCTTGTTTACAAACCTTTCTGAAAGGGTAGAAGGGAAGGTCAAAATTTCTTAAGGTCACAGTCCATAGACGAAATTTTCTGAGGGGTATAAGGAATAAGTGTAACATCTCCGAAGGTCACGAGGATGCTTTTGAGATTTTCTGAGGGTCAGTATTGGAAAGATCTAAAATTTCTATACAATCACAAGGTTACCCTGCATTTTTTTCCTGAGGGTCTTGAAAATTTGTGTCAGCACTTTGATGTTTTTCTCAAGGGGGTTGGCAGTCAAATGACCTCGTCAAAGGGGGGAAGGTGTAGATATTAAATGAAATTGCCCTCATTGACAAATAATCATGAAGCTTATTTAGGTGGAACGCTTGAGCTGTTTTGATTGTTACTACTGATAAAGAAATAAGTTGGAACAAAACACTGAATGTGTTATATACATGTACACAATACTTCAGAGTTAAATTAGATCTATCAATAATGAACTTAATGTCTATCATGTGCGACAAAATCCAGATTTCATTTTACGTCTCCTTGCCTTTAAAACTACCCTAGCAAGTCGAATGCTATTCTGATATTGATGGTTCAGTTCATTGCACTAAAAAAAAAAATAAATGTACTTGAATCAGAGGATCAAAATTACTCACACAAGAGCAGGTCCCAAACTAACCAAAATGGTGAATAACTAAAAGGTTTTAGAGCTGTAAACCATGTGTTTTGTCAGATGACTCTTACAAGTATGCACCAAGCGATATCCTGACCTGGTAGAGATCTGACCTCAGTGGAGAGTGAGAAAGAATTGAAAACCTGTCCAGCATCGACAAAAATGTCCATGAATACATGTTGATAACATGGCCAGTAAAGCAAGTCCTTTGGTTAGCAAGCTGGGTGTTTTCCCGCAGAAAAATTGCCATTTGAATGTGTAATTGCTCGCTGTAAGTTCGCTGTGTGAATTATTTTTCCTTGCTGTGGGTCTCCAATCAACCAGTGGTTTATACCTAACTGCAATGAGCTTATGGATGTTTGAAGAATTTGGTTACATGGACAAGCTATGAAAACTATTCAAAGATTAGGGTCATGGATGGACTTACCTACAAAGATGATCACAACAGTGGCTAAGCCTTCGAGGCCAGTAGCCACAAAAACATCTCTGCGGTTGCACATTGAGGTGAAATCAACGTTTTCCTGTTTTTTAAACATCTCTAAGCTTTGGTGTTGACAGGAAATCAACATTTTACTGTTCTTATGTGAAAAAAGCATCTTTAAGGTTGCCCATTGACATGAAATCAACATTTTGTTGTTGTTTTTTTAAACTGTTCACTGCCCCCTATTTTCTCATATTTTTATTTGATTGTTGAACACACAGATAGAACTGCGAGTAAACTCGATGCCAGCACAAAATGGGAGACTTGATAGGGCAGGGGGTGGCGACTTAGACAAATAGAGGGGCTGTAGACATCTTTGGGAAAAAGTGAATTCCCCGTTCAGCAGAAATGGGACATTCCCATTGGTTGAAAGGCAACAAAAGCGTCATCACCTTGACAATGGGCGATAGTGATTGCGTCCAAGCGGTTTACAGCAGTTGTCATGTTTGACACATGCCATGATTCGTAATGGAGCGGTTGTTAGAATCCTGTTCAGAGAAATTTCCACACGGTATTTTGCTCAAAGATGAACAGAAAGAGGTTGTTTTTCATCTTCTTCAGTCGAAGGACGTTACAATTTTGCTGACCAGCCAAAGGAAATGTTTGATATATCAACTCTACGCAATGGCAAAAGAAATGCAAATTAATGCGATTTGTTGTTGTTCTCATTGTTTCGCCACTCAAAAGCATCACAAAAGAAGAAATAATTAAGATGGAAAAGCTTGGGATTCCTTGAATTGTTTTGTCAACAAATTAAAGGATGACCTGCTTCAGCCAGTACAAGCTTGTTTTCAGTGCAGAAGACTTTTGAATGCAAAATAAATTCCAAAACATGTTGAAGAACAAAGATTCCCTGCTACACAATTGTGTCACACCGGTATAACACTGTCGTGTTTAGGATCAACAAATAAGTCTTAAGTTGATTTACGAGATGCCTTCCCAAGTGGATAGCAAAGGAGCAAGCGCATATCCTACAAAAATCAAAAGGAATGCTTGATTTTGGCTTTCTACCCCTTTTCACAGGTTTTATTGAGTAACGGTCATCTGAGACGACATCCTCAACACCAGAACAAGTGTTGTTGTTTGCAAGCTGAACTTGTAATCAATTAAACAAACAATTTATATTGGTCTAATCTACCTAGTAATTAGTCAAAAAACAGAACTGTTAGTGACAAGGTGATAACAGGAGGAGGAGCCTAATAAAACCACTTTTTTCGAAAGATGTTGACACTGTACAGTCTCTCTATTCTTAGTTTGGCTCACTTTGCTCGCCTGTCCATCCCCCACCCCTGCGTGCTAAATTAATTACGCTCACTTCACTTGCTTTTTCTTTTAGGTGCATTGAAACGTAGAGAGTCTGTGAAAATACAATGTTTTTTTTTATGTGAAATCAATATCTCTGAGCTTTTGCTCTCTAACTGAAAAAAAGCATCTTTGAGGTTGCAGGGCCGTACATAGCGGAGGGGCAGGGGAGGGGGCAGTTGTCCCCGTCAGGAAAACTAAATGTTTTTTTTCTAACATAGTGTTTAAATGTGCTGGGCTGTTTCTTGTAGCTACAGTATATTGGTTTGAAATCTCAAGAAAAGCTACTAATTTACTGAGAAATCTTTCTTCAATGTAAATTCCAAATAATTATATTAGAAAATCTTTCGAGGCAAAAGCCAGTATGAGTTTTCTTATGACAATAATGATTATGTAATTTGGGCTGTCTGTGGTTTAGAATGTTGGTGGGAAACAGTTGACTATGTTTCTTGCCAATGTTTGGAAAACGTTTCTCTCTGAATCTGCTGAGAAAATGTCAGGAAGAAAGCGCCTGGCTCCCACTCAACGAGGTATAATGGACTCCTTTGACGCCAAAAAAAGGTAAGTATCAAACTAAAACGTGTGTTATTTAATACATCTAATAGATGCCTTGGTTGCCGTGTTCATTCTTAGCTTGTTGTAGTAAGAAAATCGGTGAGCCACTTCACAGTTTTGATATTTCTAGCCACACCTGTCAGAAGCATCAGTTGCAAACGCTCCTTCTCATCCCTACGCCGTCTTAAGCTATGGATTCTGTCATGAATGACAGAAGATCAATTAAGTGGCCTTGCTACGCTGTTAATTCATCGTAGAATGGACTTCATTCCCACTCCAAAAGAGATCTATGACATGAAGTCAACTGGAGAAGAATCTAAAACAGCCTGATATAGACTCATTTTTGAGACTTGATATTCTGATAGCAAAACCTGCAATTTTAGCTCAATTCCTTCAAGCCAATCTCTGTTCAAACTAACGAAGGCTTTCAACCCATTTTTGAAACCATCCATACAAAGTGTTAAACTGCTGTTCACAGTATAGCTTGAGTTAAAGATGGTAATATAAATCATCATTGTGTAGCAGAGACCTCGGGGCAATTTCAAACTAGACAAGGTGTTTATGCCATAATAAATCATGACAATTTAAAACAAAAAGTATCAGTGTGGTTTGTTTCCTTAAAGGTCTTAGAGGCAACCTTCTGTGTAGGGGTGAAAACAAAACGTCCAACTAGAAACCCTGTCTGTATACAGGAGACTCCTGTGAAGGTGTGCGGAGTTTGCCCCCGCAGACAAAAAATCCTAGGCACGGCCCTGGGTTGCCCATTGATATGAACTCAACATTTTACTGTTTTTCAAGAAGAAACAAAGCATCTTTGAGGTGTCATACTGACGTGAAGTCAACATTTTGCCATTTTTTGAAGTGAAGACAAAATTATTGTTTTCAAAACTTGAAGTGAGACAAACTTCTTTGCTTTGTTGAGGTATAGAAACTTGTCGCAAGACATAACTTAAAATTTGACATAAGGCAGATATTCATATGGCCATTCAATTTTAAAACTTATTCCTCCCCCCTCCNAAAAAAACAAAAACAATCACAAAATCACTTTAGCATTATCATATGAGGTTAGCACTAACCAGCAAAGAAGATGGATTGATGGTCTTAGGCCTTTGAGTTTGACTGAGTTTAGTTATCGATGTGGCCAGATCTAGAAGGTCTCTTGGTAAGGTAGTAACTCCTAATGTATCTATGAAAACAGATTGAGCCGATTAGCAATGCCATAAAAAATGTGCTCAGTCCACAATATGATGTATATGCTTTTTTCTCAGAGGCTTACCAGTTAACCATGCTCCAAAAGAACAATGTGTCAATACTTGTACAACAGCATTAAACCAACAGTTGTTGGCAATGTTTTTCAGTCCAACATAATTCAGGGAGGGAGAAATGATGCTTTCAGTTTGCCCCTTCTTTGCTGTTGCTTGCTGAGAAAGCAAACAAATACATGTACTCACTAGTGGGTTTAAGACAAAGTTATTTTTCAATTAAATATTATTTTCAGATTAGCCAATACAACAATTCTAAATTAAATTTAACTTTGTTCCCAGAGGCAGTGATCTTTTTGGTTTGCACCAAGAAATTGATATCTCTCAAGGGAGAAATTAGAAGGTGAGCCAGTATTTAGCTACAGCAGTTACTGATCACCTTACACATGTTTAGAAACTTTCACTGAACTTGAAGTTCACAAGCGCACATCAAACCAGAACTAGAATTTTTCAGGTTTTGGTTTATTCTTTTTTTTTTGTTCAGAACTTCCTTCCTTCAGTCACTACTAAACAAAAATGCAGGGGGTCTGGGTACAGGATTGAATTAAATTCTAAGTTTATTTTAAAGTTAATCCATCATGATCATGTTGGTTTCTGCTTATGGGAAATGTTTGCTATGTCATCATAGAAGAGGAGGTTGCACTTTCTTTAGTCCCAGTCTACATTATGCTCATGAGGTATCTATAAATTTACAGATTAGCAGTGTCCATAATACAGCAGACATTAAACAGTACTGTAATTCTTGGCTAACAAAATTGCCTCCTGAAAGCTGATCAGTAACCCACTCACCATTTTATCATCCCTGCTGTCCTTTGATTTTGTAGCAAGTAGGTCATTTTCACTGCTGTCTTCATCCATTTCTATAACACATTTAGTTTGTACATGTAAATATCTACACATGTCATAATAATGTTTTTGGTTAGTTGAGTGTATCATCTAGAGCGTGAGTTTTGCAGTATTGATGAGTCCTCCCCCAGACCGCGGGGGGAGGGGGTTCTCCCTTATATGGGCTATATAGGTATGTGCAGCTCCAAAGGGTATGGTTTTCAGCTGTTTTGATCGTAAACAGGGTATCGCAGGGCTGCAAATAAGGGCTGGTCAATGGACAATGTCTGGTCAGAATTGGGTATTGACTGGACAAATCCTTGGATTGCCTGACATGTTGTTCGGTCATTTACCGACTCGTTCAGAGAAGTTTTAATTTTTAACTATTTGATAATCAAGAGGGACAACATTTGTTTTTCCGAAAGAAAAAAAACACGAAGATAAAACTAGACAAATAACTGCTTGAGAAATTTTGAAACCCTAAGATGATATGAATTAAAGTTTGCGTTTCTCAGTTATGTTTACATTTTAGTTAGCTTCTTTTTTCAAATTAATTGAGAGATCAATTGAACCCTTTGGCTTTCATATATTCTGCACATTTTACTTTAAGTTCAGTTGTAGACATGATGTGGTGATTGCCAAGGTGTAATATTTACTTATAAGTGATTTTCCCAGATGTAAAGTAAAACGAACAATTGCAGTTGTATCTATTAACTTCAATCTGGGTTCACTATTGCAACAGTTACGACTGTTTCAATTTGACAAGCCAAAAATGGGTCATGTGCGAGCAAAAACACGTTTGACCAGACGTGACCAGCGCCTGCCCGTTAGTTATTTGCAGCCCTGTATCGGTTTTGGTGATTTTGGCCATTTTGGTCACAAAGAGGGCATGGTTTTTGCACTCTAGTCTTGAACTGGGTATGTTTCTCAGAAGAAGCTACTTTTTCTTCATTATTGATAAGACCATCAACAAAAGCCCTTCATAACTTATGTTTAGGGCAATTTTGCCAGTGGCAATGGTCATAATTAAATAGGGTATTGAATTTTTGGTCAGGTCATAAATATGGTTGCAAGAATGGCAGATTTTAGTCATAAATGGGGTAAGGGTTTTGGGAAGTGGGTTGCACTCCCCCAACCAACTCTTCTAGGAGTACCCCACCCCCCCCCTCCCCCAGGCCCTAAACTCACTCAAGTTGAAAAGGAATAATAATAATTGGGGGCAAACTGGATTAAGTTGAGTTGATGCGGTGGTGAACTCGCTGTGGGGCAAATTACCGGCAACTACCTCCGTGACACATGAAATCTTCTCGATCAACGGAACTTGGGTTTTTCACTGTCGTCGATCATCTTTGCCGAGCTCTCCAGATGTCCATTTTACAGGGTTTATAAGATCAGAATTGGGAAAGCAAAGCAATGAATGAGTTGCCAGTAATCGGATACCCGTGTTTGCAGAAAGAACTCTGGGATTGTCAGGGGGCAAACATTGCAAGTCGCTAGAAGGAAATGTATGGTGAAAAGTTGTTTCGACATCCAAAAACATGGTTTTGGGGAGAGATCAACGCTTTTTCGCCGTTGTTTTATCGCAAATGGATTTTGGCAATGTTGATACATGGAAAATGTAAGTTTTTG